TATATATTATATATTATATATATATATATATTAGTCAGAAATAGCTAAACGAGCGAGGTCAAACAGAGGTCAAGGGGACATAGACCTTATCTGCTATACTTATAGTGGTTGGAAGTTGGGGTGGGGGGGGGGGGGGGTCGATCAGCTTTAATTATATAGTTTGGGAAAAGCAGCTATTACTGCATGAATAATATAAGAATATAGATTGTGATATTTTTTTCATGCAGGATCACAGGAATCGTCTGGTAACTCATCAAAGCGTACTACACAGTCCCGTGTAACACACTCCCCAGCCCATCGGCCTGTGAGGACCACACCCTCTCCCTCCCGTTCTCGCACGACCCCTTCCCCGACGTATAGACCGGCAAGTGCTAGCAGCAAGTCAAATGGCTCTTCCAAGCACTGGGACAATGACACTAGCGTAGGCAGCCCAGCTGGGTCTGTGTCACCTGCCAGGTATGATAATTATTTTTTGAAGGAGGCGTGTCAACAGTGGCACCATCAGGCATGTCACAAACAAGACTATATAGTTGCCTTGACTACTGTAAACGAGTGCTGTGATTGGTAGAAATTGGATTAAATTGTCGCAAAGGTTAATTGGTGCATGCCAAACTGCAACCTGCAGTTTTTAGAGTACAATCCATGAAACACATCATTATCATGCTCTGGATAGCATAGCAGTTGTTTCCAGTCTAGTACAGTTCATGGCACAGATGTGCTAACAAATAGTAACATATTTTTGATGATGGCTATATACAGGCTCCATCATAGTTGGAATGCTATGGCCACTTCAGTGCTATTCACACGTTGCTGTATTATTTGATACCAGCTTACCAGGTTTCCCTGCATAGTGAATACTACCTGCCCTAGCTAAGGATTGCTTGATATATTGTATATAGGTGATATACTTATAGTTAGATGCTATTAATTTCTTTTACAAATGCTTCACTCTTCATTGGCTATACAGACAAATGCTGGTGACATTGCCAATCTGTTGTATAGTATAGTAACATCCATGCATCCGACACAAGTGAAAACCGTGCAAATTCTCAATATAAGCGTGCTTGACCTGGATGGATGGATGGATGGATGGAGGCATGGATGCATGGATGCATGGATGCATGGATGGATGGATGTCTATGTGCTATGCTATACTATTGTTACTATGTGCTATGCTATACTATTGTTACTATGTGCTACTATGTGTTACGATAAATACGCTAGCTGTAGTGATGACATCCACTACAGTGTTGTAGCGTCCGTCCGCTGGGAGCATCGAAAAAGCGCGCCCTATAGTTTGGAGGAATATACTAAATATAAACATATTCATAATACATACGCCTAATATAATGTACACGATGATACCTGAGCTCACCACAATGGAAATATATTATGTATTAGCTATAGAAATTTTAATCGACATAAAATCGCATGACTAAATTACACTAGAATGTCATATGCCACGCGCGTAGGTCTTTTCGCAGAAGTTACTGCGTAAATGCCGCGATTGAGATGAACGCCTGACCGGGGTAAAATTTACACATGCAGATGACAGAAAGTTTTATCGCAGGTCATCAAACTAAATTCTATAATATCGAACATCTAGCCGTAATAACGCTCGCCCATTCGAAGCGTATACGTGGACAGAACACTTTCAATTCAATACGCCAGGTACTCTGCGTGCATTCTCGTCGATACTCGCTCAGTTCCCTGAAATACCTATGCGACAAGCTTATATTTATCCGCATACTACCTCGGCCTTCAGACCCCTCCTCGAATATCTAACCGTAATAGCGCGTCCACATTCGAAGCGTATACGTGAATAGAACACTTTCAATTGAATACGCCAGCTACTCTCCGTTGAATACGCCAGCTCCCCCTTACCCTCCCTCTTACTGTTCCCATACTTCCCGTCTTACTGTCCCGGTCTCTCCCTCTTACTTCCCCAATCTCTCCATGCTATTGTTCCGAGTCTATTCCTTCTACAGCTTCCAGACTCCCCTCTCTCTCGCTCTCCCTTTCTCTCTCTCTCTCTCTCTCTCCCTCTCCTACTTACCCAGACTCCCCTTCCTACTCCTCCCGGATACTCTCTCCTATTGCCCCCAGATACACCTTCCCACTACTCCCAGACACTCCCATCCCTCACTGTCACAAATGTCCCCTCCTACTGCCCCAGACTGTCGCGCCTGCATCCCATTGACCCCACCTTCTCCTGATGCCACAGGCTCATTTATCCGCATACTACCTCAGACTCTCTCCTCATACCCCCCAGGCTCCTCCTGCTACCGCTCGTAGTCTCTCCGACCCCGCCTAATTCCCCAGACTCCTTCTCATACTGCACCCCCATACCCCCCCCCTCATACTCCCCCTCATACTCTCCCCCGTACTCCCGCATACTCCCCCAGACTCCCCCTCCTACTCCCCCAGACACCCCTCATACTCCCCCCATACTCCCCCTCATACTCCCCCCAGACTCCCCCTCATACTACCCCCAGGCTCCCCCTCATACTACCCCTAGGCTCCCCCTCATACTCCCCCCATACTCCCCCTCATACTCCCCCAGACTCCCCCCCGTACTCAACACAGGCTCCCCCTAATTACTACCTCCAGACTCCCCTCATACTCCCCCCATGACTCCCCCTTCATACTCCCTCAGGCTCCCCTCATGCCTCCCCCCTCGTATACTTCCCCATTACACCCCCTGCATACTCCCCAGACTTCCCCTCTTACTCCCCCCAGCGCTCCCCTCTATGCTCCCCCATATACTCCCCATACACCCCCTCACACTCCCCCCAGACTCCCCCTCATACTCCTCCATACACCCCAGACTCCCCCTCATACTGCCCACAGACTCCCGCCTACTGTCCTAAGACTTCCCCTCCTACTGCCCGAACTCCCCCTCCTACTGTTCCTTGTCTCTTCTCCTACAAGTTACATCTTCCAGACTCTCCCTCCTACTTGCCCCAGAATCCCTTTCCTATACTTACCCCAGACTTTCATCCTTCTGCCCCCAGAAGTCCAGTGAGAGTGCTGTTTGCGTTTTGTATTTTCATAGCTAGCTGATAGAACAGCTTCAACTCCGCTTCATGCTTCAACTTCGTTCGATAAATTGTATATAAACGTATACATGGCTTACATGGCTGTGCTTTTATGACTTTTAATTATATACAACGACTCGTTAAAATATCTCGATTGGATAATTGCATACTTATTCCATGAAGGCAATCTCGTGTAAATACTAATTAAAATGTGATTCCGCGTAGTCCGTTACTGTCCGTATTAGGATGATGGTGATAAATAAAATTCCAGTGACGTTGGAGATTCCGAGTTAGTAAACATCCAACTTATACCAACATCCGTCTACGAACGATACTCTATTATTTATTTTAGAGGCCATCAGCAAGTCTGGCTTTTTTTTAGCCAGTTATGAGTTATGTTGTATATAAAAAGCCGGTCGCGTGTCCAGGCGCGCGCAGCGCCACGGACTTACATACGAACGCGACCAAATTTGGACGTAACAAGCTCGAAATTCGGGGACGCCTTGTACATTCACCTGAAATGACGATTGCGCATTCTGAGAAAATCGATGGCAACGCGATCACTGATTCACATGCTGATCGATGGTCAATCAACCAGCTGCGGTCAGCTTGCACACTCGTTGGCGGTTAGCCGCAGAGCAGCAGTGCACTGTGATAATACCACGCGCGTCGTGCGTATTGATCGACATAGCACAGCCGACCGTCACACCGGCCGTGATTGGCTAAGCTTCCCTTTCCCTTTGCTATTATCGTCGGAATAAAATTGCGGGTATTGAACGAAGAAACCTCTGGGGAAACGTCACGCAAGCTAGCTGCACCAGTGAGCTGCACTCACCGCGTGCTGCTACTGTTCGGCCGAGCGCTGCTGCTGCCGCCGTGTGTCTGTAGTAGTGAAGGCGGTCGGACGTTTGGTGGTGCTGGTGCAGCAGCTGCTGCTTCTGCTACTGGCACTGGCAGGGCGTGTATGCACATCGTTTTACACAAGACCGCGAGCGTATGTGTCTGCTGTGTGGGTTCTGCAGCAGGTGATCGGTGTGATGAGGTTTCACAGCTAGACAGGAGTCGAAAGAGACAGTTACTAAGCTAGTCACCTACGTTATAGACATGAACGGACAGCCGTCGCCGTGGGGTGAGACCCTCAGCCATTTCTCTCGCTGTTTCTCGGGCGTGAAATATAGTTATTACTATTACTATTAGTGTGAACGAAGGTGTGTGTGTGTGTGCGTGATCACGTATCTGCATCATGTATTTACACTCCCGAAACGCTGTGATTAAAATTGCGTTGTGTGGATGGAAATGTGTACGTAAAGGGTGTGGTGTTTACAGTTTTTTAATCGTGTTGTCGGCATTCTTTGATGTCACAAATCATGCGTTGGTTGTTGGTGTTCGACCAACGTAATTGCTGACGGCAAATAGTGTGGCTGCTTGTTAGAAAAATGTTTTGTCTTTCTATACAGAGGAGATGATCAGTCAAGAGAACGAGATACTGCGGGCGAGAGTAGCCGACCTGGAGAAGAAGGTCGAAACTCAGAGTGATGAGATTGCTTGCCTCCGTAGCACGCTGGCAGGAATTATACGCCGGCTAAACACTCTCGAAATGCCGGGCACATCTCATAGCAGAGGTACGTATAGCTAAATAATTACTCTTTCCTCACAACTATATACCCATCACGATCCCCTAGCTCCTGCTGTCTATATACCTGCCATTAGCAACTCGATCGCCTATGCACATGCATGATGCACACTCGTGTATGTACACAGATGTCGCTCGATCATTTTTATCATACATGCACGGCACCCTTATACCAAGAGTAGATAATAACACAGTTGTTATTATCTACTCTTGCTTATACTTATGCTCGTAGGGTCTATGCCCCCCTGACCTCTGTTTGACCTCGCTCGTTTAGCTATTTCTGACTAACCCTAACCCTAACCCTAANATGGATGGAGGGGTGGAGGAATGAATGGAGGGATGGATAGATAGATGGGTAGATGATGGGATGGATGGATGGATACCAAGCGGTATCCGTACATACCTTGGCTACAGAAGCCTGAAGTGGAATGTACACGTGTGATTTATGATTGCAATTGAGGGCTTTGCATGTGCACCGTGTTGATGGCGTTGTTTGTGAGCAAAGCTGTTGATAGAACTATATATATATAGGCTCAATTATTCTTCATTTATTTGCTCAACTTGCACACTTGAGTGTGAAAACAGTATACCACAAGGACAGCAACAACCAGCAGAACAGCTGCGTGCACGTACGCTACAGGATGTTATACAGCAACATAGATAGTGATAGTAAAGGGCCGGACACACTAGGCGATTAAATCGGGCGACTAAATCGCCGGTGAAATCGCCTAGTATGTCCAGTCAGTCGCCGCCGATTTAGTCGCCCGATTTAATCGCATAGATCAAAACGTTTTGATATTATCGGGCGATATTATAATATATAATATAATACAGCCCACAGATGTGCACGAGCTTATTATAGCTAGCTATATACGGTGCATTGCAGGAAAATCATGAAGAAAGTAACTTTATAATTTCGTGATTATGTCACGTAGCAAGCATTTACAGACTGTAGTGCCTCGAGTCAGTTCATTACAGTAGTCAATAATATTGAGTTTGTTTATTTTACACTGCACGCAAGCTCAAAATCTTTTAACCCAGATTTTTTTGGCATGTTTAATTAAGTTGAGGCAATTAATTAGCATGGTAACTAGAAAATAATGTCAGTTCGTTTGTTCGTTCGTTCAGTTTGTTTACACGTGCCATGAAAAGTGTGAAAATAATCTTCCAGAAGTAAGATAAATATTTCCGTGGTTCTGCTGATTATGTTGGTTTAATATAACAGTTACCGGTAGCTATAAAGTTACTAACAGTTGCTGTTGTGAATATTTATTCCAAATCTAGGGGTTATATAAGTACATCTGTTGGTCCTGTAGCTATAGATGCTTATAGAAGTTTTACATGCGACTTATATTCTTCTATAAAAATGCCTGATATTTTGCATGTTTAACTGTGCTTGTTGGCTTCTGCAATTTTATTTGTCTGCATGTTATAATTGAATTTCCCATTACAGAAAAGAGCCAATATCACTGCATGCACTATCGCCACGTGCTCTCTCCCCTACTGGTCGCTCTCCAACTGGGTATAGCTAGTATTTATAAATTTGTTTTTCTGGTACGGTATATATACATATATATACGTAACATGTGCTATTGCAAATTAATTACTATGCTGGAAGTTAGTTTATGTAGGGGCTATATATATACTATATACTTTATATTTTTGCTTACAGTGTTAATTAACACTGCATATATGTCATACATATACATATACATATACACATGCATGGATGCACTCATGCACGTACGCACGCATGCACACACGCACGCATGCACGCACATAGGCGCACATACCTACATTGGTATTTCATTCGTATAGATAGATGTACAGCATGTGCTTTTGGCAGCTGCATGCGTTCATAGTTTCTTTTTCTTAGTGCTTTAAATGGCAGCTAGCTGCTGTATTGGAAAGTATGCTTGAGTGCATTAATTGTTATTATATATATACATGATTTTAATATAGCCAGTTTATGAATTTCACAAACAAATTCACTGCTGTGGATTATTGAATTGCAATTAAGCTAGCTGAGCACAACTGTCATGATTCTCCTTGTGTTGCTTATAGCAATTAAGTATCCAATTAATAAGAGAATTCTAGTGCTCTTTCCTATATATTCTATAGGTGTGGGTGCCAGTTTCATGACTTTGTAAAGAATCGTAAATACACCACCTCAATACGTGTCTACACATTCAAAGCTTTATTGCTGCTAATGTGTGTTATGCATTGTGGTCCTGCTATCAATTCACAGCTGATTCACAGGGTAGGCTACAGGGAAGAGAGTCATTAATTCTTATGTTGGATGGATACTTGATTGCATGCATGCATGCTCATGTCTGAGAAGCTCGTCATTTGCTTGTAGGCATGGTCACAGCCTGGGAAGCAGTCCCACTCTATCCGAGAGAGCTATGTCTCCACACAGAGGGTATACATATATAGCTGAGCATATCATATTTAGTAATGGCTAATTGTTTTACATTTTATCAGGTGCAATATTTAGGTGTCTTACTAGGGCTGCATGAGAGGGTCTATGTCCCCCAGGGTACTGCCGCAGAACGTACCCTGGTAACTATCTGATATGGTTATAGGGTTAGGGTTAGAGTTAGGGAGTAGGCAACTCCCTAGACTCGTTAGTGGAGTAGGCGAGGTACGGTCCGGCATATTAGATAGTACCAGGGTACGTTCCGGCAGTACGTACCCTGGGGGACATAGACCCTCTCAGCCTTACTAGGTGAATTATTAAGTACGTGTGTGGGATATCTTCAATAGCAATTCTAAATTAATGAAGTACATATTCCACAAATGGTACATGATCATTTCCATTCCTATAGCTATCAACTAATTACTTTATTTCTAAGTGACACGTTCAATTTTCATGCCAATCTTGATTATCGCACGTGTTTGTACTGTTTCGTTGTTATTGTTGTTATTTACTGTTTTCACAGATTTGCTGTGAGATTTTATAATTATATTAATAAAAATGTTTTATTATTATTATTATGTCAAATATATTCATTGTTTATTGAATATATGTCTAATGAATAATTCCAGGAGTGCTGGATCCTTGTTCCGTCCATTCTACACCTCACATTTCAAGGGGTGAGTTCACTTTGTTGCTTCTTGCGTGACCATTACTCAAAAATCACATATGCAATCATATATGTCATGAAGGATGGGGTTACTTGGGGGTGGGGGAACTGAGTGGAAACAAGGTCACTTTACTTTGCTATATAAAATGAATAGAAAGTGTAGCATAATATATGTTTGTATCTGTGAGTGTATGCATAAAACTGCCAAAAATATCAACATGATTGTATGTTGTTGTTGCAGGCCTGCAAGAGAACCAGTATACCATCCAGGTAGGCTAGCTATGGGACTGGTCAACTTTCTTTGCTGCTGTTGTTTAATGTTATGAGTGTTTTGAATTAGATAGTAAAATTTTCAGTGTCGTTTACGAATTTTATGGTGATCCAACGACAATTAAGATAATAGCTACCTGCTATATTAATTACTACTAATTACAAATTTTGTAATCATTAATAGTAACAGCATTGTTTTCCAACCTGTCACTGTTTACTTCAGATGATGGTTACCTGAGAATGTACTTGCGAGGGCGCGCCATCAACTTCTTCAGTCCATCAGATCTTACGGAGTATGAAGTGAGATCTCCACTCCCAGCTCCTGATGACAAACTCAGGCTGGAATGGGTGTATCCTTTCAGCAGCCAATTAGGCAGCCATAGGGTTAGGGTGAGGGCAACTGCTATATGTACTCCAGTCATGCAGCTGTTAGTGATTTAAGGCAAGCTGAACGTTCAGATCGAGAAATGCCTAATCTTTTTTGTCAACCCTGCTTTTCGTGTTAACACTGGTATTACAGAAAATCACATTACTGGAACAGAACTAACACAGATATTTATAAGCCCTGTGCACATGCCTATATGTTTAAAATATCTTTAGCTGTACTTCTTTGCTCAAACTCGTTTATTTTTGCATTCTAACAATACAATAATGAATACATACTTCACTGTTAGACTCATTCGTCATTGATGAGGTGGAGGCAGGAGATGGATTCAGGCAGGGCGAGTGAAGCGATTTGGAACAAGATTAATGTGAGACATATCAATTTAAAAACTTAAGATTTAGAATTACAGAATCTATTTTAAATACAGATTTGTAAATTGTTGAATCTCTTTAACGAATGACCCATGACAGTTATGGCTACAGAGGCAAGGATTCTAGAAACAATCTGTTGCTTCTTCCTACTGGAGAAATCGTATATTACATAGCATCAGTAGTTGTGCTCTACAGTGCAGCTGACCACTCTCAGAGACACTACCTCGCTCACACCGCTGAAGTAAAGTGGTATGTATATTGCAATCGATCTAGTGCAAATATTCAGGAATTGCTTAAAATTGCCATAAAGTTATGATTACGCTCAATAATAATGAGAATAAGCAAATAATTATGATGGTACAGGCAATCTACATATCAACTAATAATTTCTGGCTCTATATGTACAATGTTTGAGCAGCTGTGATATGTAAACGTGATGTTGATTGTATTTTATAACTTTATTTGTAGTATGACACTTCATCCGAATAAGACTGTGATAGCTACAGGCCAAGCTGCTGGGGTGGACAGGAGAGAGAGGGTATACCTATATAATAAACCACCTTTTAATGATTTGTAATGCACGTAGATTATATATGTTCATGGCTTGGCAAAAAGTGTGGAGCTTAATGGATGTTTACATAAATTCTAGATGAGAAATTGAATTAATTAAATATATATATACGTCATAGATTTAAAAAGCATGTAATGATATATTGCTTGTGTTTATTTATTATATCTTTCATTCGCATGTGCACATTTGAGTCGCATTTCACAGCTATACGTACTGTGGATGGAAAAAATAGCCTGCTTCTTAAAGAATTCAGCACTTAGTAATTTCTAGACATTTCCCTTAAGTGCATGAGGTTTAGACACATACAGCATGACTGTGTGCTTTCATGCATGTGCAGAGACTGAGTGGGAATGGGTGCACTGCTGACATGGAAGACATCACACAGTTACTGGTGAGCTGATGTGCTGCATGTGACATATGTGATGCGCAGGGGATATTATTGGTGAAGGATATTTAGTGGGAAACTCGAGATGCATCATGTCTCGCACAGTGTATGATTTATTATAGTTCTTTATAGCTACTCTTCTTATAATTCAGGGTTCTTCCCAGGCCTTTAATGCATGTTTCGTTTTTTGAGGCATCCTATAAATCCTCTGAAATCGATATATGCCCTAATTTCCAGCTGTGTTTAATTTTGACAATCCTATAAGACAGTCGTACTGCGTTTTCTTATGTGACATGCATAACTGACTCCAATTGCTACAATCCCCTCCAGGGCCCTTCCTCGTATGTCCATAAATAACATGACTTCTGAAGTTCCCTGGGATAATTCCCTGTAATGGTTATATATTTCTACTGAATATTTCATTGTACAATTTTCTGTATTGCATTTTCCTGCTAAAATGTTCTTACTAGTTGGCAAAGGTACGTGGGTTTCAGCATATGGTTACTGATAACAATCAGTCATGAAACATGAAATGATTATGTAAATTTATGTGATATACATTGTCATTACCATCAAAATTTATTAATGAAATTTTCACGCATTCAGTAATAGTAATGCAGTAGGAATGCAGATATAAACATGTTATTAATGGTACATAATAATTGAAATTTTTAAATAGCAATTATGTACACTCCTCCAGTATACCTATGAGCTGATCCACAGGAAAGTTTACTGTACAGGCATTAGCTTTTCATGCCTGAATTGATTTTGTTGTTTGCTTTCAGGCTCATGTGAGAGTGTGGGATACCGTAACACTGCATACCCTGCATGTGATAGGAATAGGTCTGTTTGAAAGAGGCATTGCATGCCTTGCCTTCTCCAAAGAGGTTAGAAATGGTCATATCTTGATTCTATGTTGTAGTGATATTCTTATATGTATGTGTGTGTGTGTGCGTGCGTGCGTGCGTGCGTGTGCCCTTCCCCCAATTTGCATTGGCTATGCTTCCTAGCTTAATTAAGCATTCCTTGTTATGTCAAAGACAAAAATTATTTTATATTAGGATAATATGTAAGATATATATTGAACCTCATCTAGTAAGCAATCAATCACAATCATCATATCAGGTTTGAAGATTTTTGAGGGGCAGCAGTGATATGTAGCTGTTAGTACTCGTAATTTTGAGCTGAATGGTCTGTTTTCCAAAACTGGTTGCTGTTAGTGTGCCATTGCACATATTACATATTATTATCCTGATTGGCTACAGTCATTACCTGCTGTGAAAATGGGTTCAGAACTCTGGGGTAAGGCTATAACGACTCACTACCTCACATTGTATGGGAGAATCAAGTCTGTATGACAATATAGAGAAGATAGTCAGATGCAGTAAAAGGGAAAAAATTGAATTTCTACTCTTTGAACCCATGCAATTAACCATGAAATGTGCATTGTTACATTTCAGGGACACGGGGGACAGCACCTTTGCATAGTGGATGAGGCACCAGAACACAACCTCTCTATTTGGGAATGGAGCCGAGGTGACAAGGGAACCAAAATCACAGAGAGTAAGGTAAGTCTACATATTGATTTATCTTGGCAGTATGAAACAGTCGTCATTTCATTGTCTTGCAAACCTGTTGTCGCTGTAACATAATTCCATGCAGTTCTACAAATATGTCGGCATGGTCAATGCAACGTAGTCTCACACAGTTGTACGATAGTGTCATCACTGTAGCTTAGTCCCATATAATTATACAAGCTTGTCATCACTTCAATGTAGTCTCATACAGGGGGGCTGGCCTAGAGCTGAAGGGGTCGTTGTCGTATCAGGTACTACAGATATGTACCTGAGGTACGTATATATGTATACACAAGTGTACCAGACCTGTATCTTGTACCCAGATATGTACCCTGTGTTTACATAAACATTTACATCATCTTCTCCCCTCCTCCTCCCCCTCCTCCCCTCCTCCTCCTCCCCCTACTCCATCACCTTCTCCCCTCCTCCCCCTACTCCATCACATTCTCTCCTCCTCCTCCTCTCCTCTCCCTACTCCTCCTCAATGACGTGCTTTATTCGATTCCATCACCTCTCAGCTCACTTCCTCCCTCCTGCCCCTACCTCCTCCATGACGGTCTTCAATTACGATTCCATCACCTTTCCGTGCCTCTCCCCCTCCCCTACTACCATCAGCCATTCTCCTCCTCCTCCTCTCTCCTCACTGCCCTAATCTCGCATACCTGTTCTTCATTGATCTCCATCACCTCGCTCCTCCTGCTCACCTCTTCACTCGCGCCTCCCTCCTCATCCCCCTGACTCATCACCTTCTCTCCCTCTTCCTCCTCCTCCTTCTCCTCTCCCTATCCATCACACTTCTCGCGTCCTCTCTCCCTACCATCACTCTCCTCTCCTCCTCCTCCTCTGTCCGCACCCCTACTGCCTCCTCCATGACATTTTCATATGATACTACATCTCCTTCTCTGCTGCCTCCTCCTCCCTCTCCTTCTCGCCTCTCGTCCTATTCTCACCTTTTCCGCATCCTCCTCCTCTCACTTGCCCCTAACTTACTGCCCTCGCATGACCGTCTTCAATTCGATTCTCATCACATTTCTCGCGCTCCTCCTCGCCTCCTCCCCCTACCGCATCACCTTCTCCCTCCTGCCTCCTCCTGCCTCCTCCTGCCCCTGCCCTACTCCTCCTCCATGACCGTCTCATTCGATTCCCATGCATCCTTCTCGCTCCCCTCCTTCCCTCCTCTCCCTCCTTTCCTCATCTCCCTACTTCATCACCGATTCCCCTCCTCCTCCTCTCCTTCCTCCCCCATATCCATACACTTCCTCCCCTCCTCCTCTCCTCGCTAACTCCATCACCTTTCCGCTTCTATCTTCTCTTCCTGCCCCCTACTCCTCATGGACGCTTTTCGATTTCCATCACCATTCTCCTCTGCTTCTCTCGCCCCATCCTCTACCCTGCCTCCTCCGTCCTCCTCCCTACTCGCTCACTCTTCTCCTCCTCCTGCCCCCTAATACTCCCTCCATGACGTGCTTTATTCTAATCTCCATCACCTTCTCCGCTCCTCCTCCTCCTCCTCCTCCTCGCTCTCTGCTCCTGCCTCTCCTTCCCTACTTCCATGTCACTTCTCCCCTCCTACCTCACTCTCCTCCCCCTACTGATATCTTTCTCCCCTCCTCTTCCCCCTCCTCTCTGCCACCCCCCCTACTTTCCATACCCTTCCCGCCTGCCCCCTCCCTAATTCCATCACCTTCTCCCCTTCTCTCCTCCTCCTCCTCGCCGATGCCCCTACTCCCTTCCTCCATAGACGTCCTCATTCGAATCATCCACACCTTGCTCGCTGCTCCTCCTACCCTCTGCCCTCTTCCTCCTGCCTACTCCATCACCTTACTCCCCTCCTCCTCTACTCCCCTCCCTCTCACCCTACTCCTCACTCCTTCCCTCCTCCTCCTCCATGACTTTCATTCGAATCATCGTAATACCTTATGGCCGCTCCTCTCGCTACTCTTCCCTCCTACACTGCCGCCCTAGCCCTCCTCTGCCTTCTTCATGTGATCTCCATCACCGTTCTCAGTCGCTCCTCTCCTCTCCTACTTCATTCCTTCTCGCGCCTCTTTCTCCTCCTCCTACTCCTCCTGCGCCTCTACTCCTCCTCCCATGATCGTCTTCATTGATCTCATCTTTCAGGGGCAGTACGTTTACGTAAACACAGGTAACATCATCTGGGTAAAGAATAGCAGGTCTGGTACACTTGTGTAATAACAGTATACGTAACTCGGGTATATCTGATGAACCTGAATACGACAACGACCCTTCAGCAGTACTAGATTGAAGAGTGCTCTAAGAATTCCTGATTGCCAGTCTACAATGCATTCTGATGTTCGTTGATCAATGCTATCAACAGCAAGGATAATGTTTGGCCTGTAGAGTGGTCCTGGAGCAGGTGTGGCTGTGGGAATTCCATCACGGTGGACATAGGGACCGGATAGTGAGCTGTGGCGTGGACCAATTGCCAGCTTCTATGGCATTTAGATGCGAGGTGAGCACATGACATCGGAAAACTGGGAAGTCTGTTGACGTAGATTAAAGTTTGGGAGTCCTGAGTCAGGTTTGTACATAAGCATTTTACACAATCATTCAATGTATTACGTTTTCATTGAAAGTGTAGTGATCACAATACATATTGATATACACCTAGAGATGGGCGTGCATGTGCATTGTACCTTATACTAACTTAAGTTTGGGGTTTATCTTAATATTGGGCATGTAGTAATTTTTGTTGTTTTCTTATGGCAGACTAAACAGGAAAAGGCAAAGTTCATTGGCGTGTCTGGCGATTAACAAGAGACAGGATTTGTTGGCCGGTGATTCTGCTGGCAATGTTGTGGAGTGTGGCACGGTAAGCATCAAGGTTACATATTCTATTACAAACATATCTACTGTCTTATATTATAAATACTGTAGCATTTTTGGACTGAATGGTTGTAGATAAAAAATGTAAATTTTAGGCAATTCATGTCGGTTATTAAATCAAATATATTATATATAATATTATAAAGGCAAGCAAATTCTGATGCTCATTTATTATTAATAGAACACTTCAAATTGATTGTTAATGCATGTTTGCCAGGTAGCAAGCAAGATGCTAGGGTAAAGGTGACTGGTTGGCCCATTGATGGCGCTTGTTGGCTGCCTTGTACAACTGCCTGAATGGAACCGCATTGTGTCTGGTGGTGGAAGAGCAAAGGCATTCAGTCTGAGTCCGCCATTATTTACAGCAAACTCATCTCAAATGATCGTACGTGTAATACACTTGTAGCAAGAAGTGGACATAACATTACCTGTTACTTAGCGTGTTAATTGTTTACTGATAACACAGCTGTTAATGACGCAAGACCTGTAAATTAGCAGTAGCCAGTTGCTTCTAAAAGCATAACGGCAAAACAAAATATCAGTAAGTCATAATTATCTTCAGTTGCCTGCGATGTTAGGCGGTGTGAAGACAGTAACCCAGGGTAGAGGAAACCGGCTCCTGGTTGGGACAACATTAAATTACATCCTGCAAGGAACAGGGCCTTGACTCATACTTTCATGTTCATACAGTATCATTATATAGCAATGATATCAAAGATGGTTCAGTTATATTAGCGTGGAGCATACAATTAATTTTTGTGAGCGATACACGCTATAATATCATGTACTATTCTTGTACTTTTTCTAATTCGTGTACTGTTCCCTTGCTCAACATGTTATAACTATAGTACCTATGTACATATGCTTATTTGGTTATATCTGTTATGACAACTAAATGCTGCACCAGGTCGGTGTTGTGATTTTTGATTGGTAGAATAATTAATCATAATTATTACATTTATCAATACTTGTTGGTAATTGTAATCATGAATTGTTGCAAAGGGCCATGCAGATGAGGTGTGGTGCCTGACCACTCATCCAAGCCATCATCAGTTTATCTCGGTTGCTGATGACCACAACGTCTTTCTGTGGGATTCTCTAACACACACAACAATATGGAGCAAAGAGCTCGAGGTACTTGAATTATTTAAGCCATCAGATATTACTGTTATTAGGTGATTAGACAATTGTGACGTAGCTACTATGTGATAGATTGGTGTTTAGATAATGGAACATGCATAATAGAATGCCGAATGCATACATTTCATGTTATTATATTAGTTAATCAATGGTGNCTTCTCCCCTCCTGCCTCCTCCTCCTACTCCATTCACCTTCTCCCTTCCTCCTCCTTCTCTTCCTGCCCCCATCCTCATGACCATCTTTATTCGATCTCCATCACCTTCTCCGCTCTTCTTCCTCCTCCTCCCCTCCTTGCCTCCTCCTCGTCCTCCTCTCCCCTACTCCATCACCTCCTCCTCCTCCTCCTCCTGCCCCCTACTCCTCCTCCTCCATGACCGTCTTTATTCTATCTTATCACCTTCTCCGCCCCTCCTCTCCTCCTCCTCCCCTCCTTCTCCTCCTCATCCTCCCCTCTCCATCACCTTCTCCGCCTCTCCTCCCCCCTCCTCCTCCTCCCTACTCCATCACCTTCTCCCCTCTCTCTCTCCCCTCCTCCTCCTCTCCCCCCTACTCCATCACCTTCTCCCCCTCCTCCTCCTCCCCCTACTCCATCACCTTCTCCCCTTCCTTCTCCTCCTTCTGCCCCCCTACTCCTCCTCCATGACCGTCTTCATTCGATCTCCATCACCTTCTCCGCTTCTCCTCCCCCCCCCTCCTTTCCTCCTCCTACTCCATCACCTTCTCCCCTCCTCCTCCTACTCCCCTCCTCCTCCCCCTACTCCATCACCTCCTTCCCTCCTCCTCCTCCATGACCTTCATTCGATCTCCATCACCTTCTCCGCTCCTCCTCCTCCTCTTCCTCCTGCCCCCTACTCCTCCTCCATGACTTTCTTCATTCGATCTCCATCACCTTCTCCGCTCCTCCTCCTCCTCCCTTCCTCCTCCTCCCCCTACTTCATCACCTTCTCCCCTCCTTCTCCTCCTCCTCCTCCTCCTGCCCCCTACTCCTCCTCCATGACGTCTTCATTGATCTCCATCTCAGGGGCAGGTAACGTTTTACGTAAACACAGGTACATATCTGGGTACAAGATACAGGTCTGGTACACTTGTGTATACATATACGTACCTCGGGTACATATCTGTAGTACCTGATACGACAACGACCCCTTCAGCAGTACTAGACTTGAGAGTCTCTAAAGAATTTCCTGTGTGCAGTCCTACAATGCTATTCTTGATGTTCTTTGATCATGCTAATCACACAAGAGATAATGTTTTGGCCTGTAGAGTGGTCTGGAGCAGGTGGTGGCTGTGGAATTCCATCCGGTGGACATAGGGACCATAGTGAGCTGTGGGCGTGGACACATCAGCATCTGGCATTTAGATGGAGGTGGAGCACTGACTCGGAAACTGGGAGTCTTTGACGTAAGTTCAAAGTTCTGGGAGTCTGAGTCAGTTTGTACATGCAGTTACTCAATCATTCAATGTATTTACGTTTTCATTGAAAGTGCAGATCACATACATATCATTACACCTAAGATGGGCCTGCATGTGCATTGACCTTATACTACTTAAGTTTGGGTTTCTATATTTGGCATGTAGTAATTTTGTTGTTTCTTACTGCAGACTAAACAGGAAAAGGCAAAGTTCATGCTGTGTCTGGCATTAACAGAGACAGGTGATTGTTGGTCCGGTGATTCTGCTGGCAATGTGTGGGTGTGGCCACGGGGTAAGCATCAAGATACATATTCTTTATTACAACATATCTACTGTTTATATTATACAATAGCTGTACATTTTTGCTGATGGTTTGTAGAAAGAAAATGTAATTTACAATTCATGTCGTTATTAAATCAAATATATTATATTAATTATTATAAAGGCAAGCAAGATTCTGATTGGCTCATTTATACTTTATAGACACTTTCAAATTGATGTTAATCATGTTGCCAGGTAGCAACAAAGATGGCTAGGGTAATGACTGGTTGCCATGATGTGCTGTCTGCTGCCTGTACAACTGCCTGATGGAACCATTGTGTCTGGTGGGGGCAAAGACAAAGCCATTCATTCCTGGAGTCCGCATTATTACAGCAAACTCATCTCAAATGATGTACGTGTAATCACTTGTCAGCAAGAAGTGGATACATTACCTGTTACTTAGCTGTTAATTGTTTACTGATAACACAGCTGTTAATGACGGCAAGACCTGTAATTAGCAGTAGCCATTGCTTCTAAAACATAGGCAAAACAAAATTCAGTAAGTCATAATTATCTTTCAGTTGCCTGCGATGTTAGGCGGTGTGAAGACAGTAACACAGGGTAGAGGAAACCGGCTCCTGGTTGGGACAACATTAAATTACATCCTGCAAGGAACCCTTGACTCATACTTCAATGTGGTCATACAGGTATATAGCAATGATATCAAAGATGGTTCAGTTATATTAGCGTGGAGCATACAATTTTTGTGTGTGATACACGCTATAATATCATGTACTATTCTTGTACTTTTTCTAATTCGTGTACTGTTCCCTTGCTCAACATGTTATAACTAGTACCTATGTACATATGCTTATTTGGTTATATCTGTTATGACAACTAAATGCTGCCACCAGGTCGGTGTGTTGATTTGTGATTGTAGAATAATTAATTCATAATTATTACCTTTATCAATACTTGTTGGTAATTGTAATCATGAATTGTTGCAGAAGGGCCATGCAGATGAGGTGTGGTGCCTGACCACTCATCCAAGCCATCATCAGTTTATCTCGGTTGCTGATGACCACAACGTCTTTCTGTGGGATTACTCTAACACACAAAATATGGAAGCAAAGAGCTCGAGGTACTTGAATTATTTAAGCCATCAGATATTACTGTTATTAGGTGATTAGACAATTGTGACGTAGCTACTATGTGATAGATTGGTGTTTAGATAATGGAACATGCATAAGAATGCCGAATGCATACATTTCACGTTATTATATTAGTAAATCAATGGTGACGCTAGAAATTCCTATGTCAACTTGGTAGGTGCATTGGTTTTAACAGCTAGATTGGATGTGAATGTCACATGTGTGTAATATTTGTTGCCTTCTTGTAAAGACAGGCATGATATGTTATATATGAATGTAACAACTTAGTGCAATTGTCTCTAGGATGGTGCTCACGCTGCCTGCTTTCATCCAAGTGGTGGGATGGTTGCCATAACAACAGCTTCAATGTGCTGGCTTGTCATAGACATTCTGTCCAGAGATATATTGGTTTCGCAGCAGGATGGGACTGAGCCATTGACCTGTATAGCTTACTCCCCAGGTAAGGAGTTACTATAGTCGATAGTTATTAGCAGGTGCTTTAAAGGTCCAGTAGTAAATGGTTCAATAATGCATGAATTGTTATCCAGAGAGATATGATACAAGATTTCGTGGCACAGCTTTGCTGTTGATCCTGAGCGCTGTGCGCGGATGAGACGCGCAGTTCCGCGGGATATGTGCACGCGACCGCGGGGATGTTCAAGTATGAAGCGCTGTCCGCAGTGGAGACGTGCGCCAAATTCGAGGCCCGGTGCACGTCTCCACAGTGGTCAGAGGATGGTCTGTAGTTTTAGAAAATAACAATGAAGACTTTGTTCTAAATAAGAACTATTGGCGGCTAAATAAGAGCAATATACAGACCTTTGAATTTCTTGACTAGTCAGTCAAAGGGCTTGTTGGGGTCCATTATGCAGGGCTTCCAATTGAAATGGCCCATGAAATTGTCAAGTGGAATTGTGTTTTTTGGAACCCCAAAGAAAATGTCTCCCTCTTACATGCGCCCCCTCCCTGATCAATCACGCATTCGGGCGTAAACAATAACAGAGATGAAATTGTGTTGAGTTTGTGGCTCTTGACGCACGTGCATTGACGTACAAGAGTGTTGAAAGCACAGGCACTTGGAACGTCTCAATAAAAATAAATATTCACACAATTTTTAACAATGATCGACCGCCTGTGTGCAAAATAGGTGAACGTATGTGAAACATATACAGTTAGTACTGTGACATATCCGTGACTAACTGACACCACTAAATTGGTAAAATGTTCCATGTACCTATATGTAAACAAACACGCGTGTTGCGAGGTGCCTGCCTCTGATATCCATTTCAAGGCCCGCTAGGCCAAGCATAAAGCGCGTGGGCAAGACGTCACACACACAGCTACGTTCATTGGCTAAAACAATTGAGTAGCGCGGTTAGGGATTTTCGGAATTATTTAATTTGAAGAAAAACTTCAATGTTCAATGAATGACGCACTCGTTCACTTCCGACAGCGCGTGAAAATGCCGAAAATTTTCCACTTCGATGCGAAATGCATCGTCCGGGCATTTCATTATTTACGAAAAGTAATTACAGGCTGGCGAAAGACAGTAGGTACAGTAACTGGTTACGTCGGTGACGCCCCATTCATGTCCATCAATGAAGAAGGCGGGGCTTATTCTGATTACGGAGATGCGAAAATGCAACAGAAGGACGTAGCGCAGTGCGCTAAACAGCGTGTTATTTTCGTATTTGTGGCAAACTATCGTAGGAAACCGTTCTAGCTAACATAGCAGAATGCCCTAGTTCCTGAGATCGGCGATTTGGTGGTCCAATGGGTCCCCACCTATAAAAATATAAAAGACTGCTGCGGCGTAGGCTGTGATTGGAAGACACAGTGTCAATGACAATCCTCGGCGCGCCTCGGCATCATGGCCGCATCACGTCAAGCTGTTCACCCTACCTAGTATGTATGTATGTAGGAATGTCCACACCCCTGTTATTTATTGAAGAATCAATATTACTCTTATTGCATTGCTGTTGTTAAGGTGCATGGTAGTGAGATGTGCTGTTACGGTAATGTTAGCAAACATTTGTATTCAGATGGTCGATTCATAGCTGTTGGATCAAGAGATCATTCAATATATGTTCACCAAGTAAGCGATGATGGACTGAAGTACAACAAGATTGGCCGATGTCTGGTACGTGTGTTCGAAATTCTGAAATTCTAGATACAAATTATTATCTCAAATGCTTTTTACCTAGCCTGTCATTTACATTAATATTTCAAAATCCATATCATGAAAAATAATTAAATATGGTTGCCATTTTTTTCATTAATTAGTCTATGTGTGGGGAATGGCTCAGTCACGAATCAATAACTCAGAATCAGCATGGGCCATTGAACAACGTTTCGTTATTCTTTATGAACATATATGATTCTTTGACAAGCAATGTCATCATAACTCAGAGCCTCACTATATTTATATTGGTTGCATAATACACTTGCATTTTAATGCAGGGTCACACGGCAGGTATAGAGCACATGGACTGGTCAGCTGACAGCCAGTTTCTTCTCAGCACATCTGCTGACTTTGAAATGAACTACTGTAAGTAGGAGTTATTATGTGGCCAGCACAACATAGACAGGATAAGGAGAGATGTAAGAATTAAAGCAAGTCAAATAATCTGTAGGTGCGTAACACAAGTTAATAAGAGATGCGATGAGAAAGATGGAGGCAAGAAGAAAAAAATCGAGTTTAATGATGAAAAAGGGCAAACTGTGATAAAAACCAGGTCATGTTTCATTTCATTTGAGATTATCTCAACAAAATAAAGATCCTCAGGTTATGTAAATACATTATTATTATTATTTATAGGAACACAATTAGCTAGCTCTCTTCCTTTAATCATCAACTTATGTGTGTAGATCAGTATATGTTCAGTAAACAGGCTCATTATCTAAAATTAATTATCAGTTCTACATGTGTGGTATTATTTATTCCTTAGAGTTCATGGGATCATCACATTGATTAGTATTCGAAGATGTTTAATAGCAGGAATGCATGTTTACGCATGAGCTCCAGCTAATGCCTACATACTTTGCAGGGAGTGCAGCAGTTTGCAAGCAGGTGAACAACCCAGGCTCGATGAGGGATGTAACATGGGCCACACAGAACTGCACTCTGGGCTTCAATGTGGCTGGTATGTTGTTGGTTTAGATATACTAAAATGTTTTTTTTATCTGGCTTCCTATAGTTGCTTTATATAACTGTCTTTTGTTGGTATCTTGTATATGTTCCATATTCTCCTTAATTATCAACCACACTTCATGTCTTTACCTATTTATTTTTCATGGCTACTGTATATATTCCTCCTAACCCCTAGTCACTTGCAATACTTATCTTCGTATTTATTTGCATTTAGTTTAGCACACATGTCACATGCATGCATGCATGCGTACTTGTACGTGCAATGGGCACACTCACATTCATAATCCAGCAACCAAAGTGAAATCTAGAAGATCTGATCTGTCAAAACAGACTCAGTTTTTCACCAAGTCCTCAGACCAGTTACTAATTATAGCTCCAGGCAACATGCTGTGGCATTACTACGCCTGTATACAGTGCACCTAGCATTTTTAGCTCATCTGACATTGTCAAGAAAAAGAACTCCCCAACCCTAAAACCGGCTATTGGGCCCGCGGTGCTTGCCCATGCGTTTTACCGAGTGCATGCATAGGTTCGTATGTATGAGAATGCACATGCATTTGTCTCCAAGCACGCGGTATTTCTGCTGATCTACGCATGCAGGAGTGTATCGATCTATAACAGCATATTCTGCACAATAGGAATATGGCCAGAAGGATCAGAGGGTACAGACATCAACTGCTGTAGCAAGGCCTACAACAGACCTTTATTGGCAGCAGGAGATGACTGGGGTAAAGTGAAGCTCTACTCTTATCCGACTGACAAACCGAAGGTATGGCATTTATCTATAGTATTCAGACATGCATACATGCATACTAACACACTACACTATTAATATACTAGTACATTCCAAAATGCAGTTCAACGGTTAACAGCATAGTATGCAATGGGAAAATTTATAGCGAGGGTGATACATACCTCTTAAGGCCTACTATAGTGCAATTTAACAATTAACAACAAAGGGAAAGTGCAGTAAATAAATTCATTGCGAACAGCATTCAGCATTTGCCAACAGCCACTAATATTGTTGCTGTGTTCGTTTCTACACAGTCTGGATGTCAGACATACTCAGGTCACAGTGGTGGCATCATGGGAGTTCAGTTCCTGTACAACGATGCTCGCCTGCTCACCACTGGTGGACGTGACATGGCCATCATGCAGTGGGAAGTTTGCTTGAGTCATTTCTAGGTGGCGCTACTAGCTGTGATGTGACAATAATTAATTGTGCACTATGAAGTATGTGTGCTAGCCCCGCCTAAGTGGTGCTGATAGTTATCATAACAGGTGTTGCTGTATGATTATAGCTAGGCTACTAAGGTGTGCCACTCTAAGAACAAAAACTAAGTATACTGTATAAAATATAAGCAGGTTTTTTTCTCCCTCAAGAGACTATTATCCCTATCGTCCGGTAATGCATGTGATCGGGTTTGGAAGAGCTGCCTAAAAATGCCACCTTGGTACATGGAGAATATCAGGAGTAGATAACAGGGAAGGAGTGTGACATCAATAAACAAGGGAAATTCGTCTTTATAGGCTCTAAAAACTCGACGATTTACTACGCGTCAACTATTTACGTCTAACTCATCCAACTTGAGCTCAAATCGTACACAGCTAGTACATTCGCCTAGCATCGTGCGAAATCGTTTCCTCGTTTACACAAGCAATCCGGAGATACAGACTAAATCGTACGACACGACTTTCCATTCTTTGGCCATCAATCCAAGTGAATTGCCCGCCTCTATTAAAACAAAAGGCAGCTATACTGACGCGCTGTTGCTGTGTTTGCTCATCGGAATGTGAATGTGGCGGTGTGGCTCGCGGGAGATTGCCGTTGCTGCAGGCTACAGGCTACAGCATACAGCACAGTAGCACTCGCGCCGTTGCGTCTATGGTTTCGCCGATGTCCAATCTCCCCGCGAGCCACACCGCACATCCACATTCCGATGAGCAAGCACAGCAACAGCGCGTCAGTATACTGCCTTTTGTTTTAATAGAGGCGGCAATTCACTTGGATTGATGGCAAAGAATGGAGTCGTGTCGTACGTTTTAGTCTGTATCTCCGATGTCTTGTTAAACGATGGAAACGATTTCGCACGATGCTAGGCGAATGTACTAGTGTACGATTTGAGCTCAAGTTGGATGAGTTACGCCGTAGTAAATCGTAGGATATGACTAAGGTATTAACTACGAATTTCCCTTGTTTATTGATGTCACACTCCTTCCCTATTATCTACTCCTGAGAATATCCAACAATACAGGAAAATTTCTGCTACTTTAATGCGTACGTATACAATGCAGTAACATGCTTATAAAGCTTTATCAACTCCTACAATCCATGTCAACAAGATAATGCAGTGTCATGCAAGGCACTGTTAATGTCATTGGATGGGTAATGTTGTAGAAAATCAGTGGAAGCTTCTCTACCTGGTAGCAATTCTGCACAAAGTGCCAATTGCCAGTGTTCTGGTAGTCATATTAAACACATTATTTAATCAAAATCAATCCATTTCTATCTGCCATATCTTTATTATGAGAGTTACGCTCGTTCTCCCTAGTTGGAAAACGTTGTTATCTGATCACATAATTGTACACATACCTCTAATGGCATGTGAGTTTGCTTCACATGGCACTGTAAACTAGAATCTCGAAATGTAGATTATAGTGCAAATATTATCTGATTCTGGTAAAGTGGGTGAAAATAATCTATTACACTTACACTAGCTCACAAGTAGATGTAATTATTATTTAAACATATGCCGATAATGATAATTTCTCGTATTATGATTATTCTTACATCATTTAACTACATGTAAGCTACTATACATGACACATTACACTGTTGTTTGGGTTATTTTTAACGAGGCAGCTGCCAAAACTTATGTCCATTCGCTTATTCGATTTTGCATATTAGTATCAAGAGTGCATTAAGTATGTATATGCAGTAAATCATGCAGTGTCTCACACGTTTAATACTAGGGTGAATAAAAGGAAAGATGGTTATGATGATGTATTTAGATTTAGGTTAGACAATTAGGTGATCATATGATATTAAGAATCATAACGTCTTTTAGCAGCTGTGATGCAGCTGTGATGCAGCTGTGATGCAGCTCTTTGGCAATGACAACTCCTTGTGTTCATTCGAAACAATGTTATTCTTTTTACGGGTTAATATCTAAAGCATGTTTTTATTAGGTTACGATCATTTTAAGAGATATTTTCTTTATGCTATGGATAATCAAAACAAATTACATATTCAGTTGTCAACCAACCTGTGTTAATGGGAGTAGCTTGTATAGCGTTTACAACCTTGTCTTGCCAAATATCCATTCATATAGAGAACCATTATGTGTATACACCTTGTTGATTTAAATTCTCATGCTGTTTAAAGCTTCATAAAAATGCCACTGCATATGAACCTATGTATATATATCGTAAGAGGGTCTATGTCCCCCAGGGTACTGCCGGAACATACCCTGGGTACGGTCCGGTATGCCGGAACGTACCCTGGTACTATCTAATATGCCGGACCGTACCTCGCCTACTCCACTAGCGAGTCTAGGGAGTCGCCTATGCCTACTCCCTAACCATATCAGATAGTTACCAGGGTACATTCCGGCAGTACCCTGGGGGACGTGTGCTTTGTCATGATCCAGCCATACTGCCAGCGTTTCTGTGTCGTCTAGTGCCTCGACAAGTTTTATCTACGCGGTATATGAGAAATTGTCATTCCCTCATTGGATGGATACTTGGCTTCACTTGGATGGTTGTAATGTGATTATTGTGTATTACGCAATGCAGGAGGATAATTAATGTTGACGAAGTAAGAATAGAAATATTATAATATATTTGCCTTGCCTTTGATATTATGACCATTCCACTGTAGATACTTATTTCAGTATATAAATATAAATGCTTTTCTGAACTAATTATCTTCTCTACTGTCTTTCTCTACACGAATTGTTGAAGCTGTTATTCATTCTGAGTTTTCGTTATATACATGAATGGTTTAGGACGCAATCTGCACGTTTGCATATATTAATTTTGCTAATGATGAGCCCAGAAATTAACTTTGACTGTTTAACAAGCATAGGGTTAGGGATGAACACGCCAAAACTTTCCTATAATTTATATGCCTATACTTGCTTGGCCTAATTTCCTATATACACCAACATTATGTGCAGAAATTTGATGAGTCACTTAATTAGCTCTATTCATGAATCATACAGATATGTCCCTACCGATGTATAGCACCATGAACATGTATATGTAACATGAGTATACATGTGTTCATGTTATGGGCACATAAAACAAACTATATATATACATGCATGATTAAAATTTGTCCTAGTAAGCTTTGGGGAAATCGGCATCATATCCCTATATAGGTTTCGTGGAAAATTAGTTTCTGGGAGACATTCAAGGAAAAGTAGTACCTCGAGTAGGCCGGGTCTCCGGACCAAGGTGCTAAACATACAGCAGAATATACTGTAGGACCAAGGTGCTGAACATACAGCAGAATATACTGTAGGACCAAGGTGCTGAACATACAGCAGAATATACTGTAGGACCAAGGTGCTGAACATACAGCAGAATATACTGTAGGACCAAGGTGCTGAACATACAGCAGAATATACTGTACAGTGGAAAGACCGGCACATGGCATTTAACGAAACAGAAACAGTCACAGACTATTTGACACTCCAACCACCTTTATGTGCACCACCACATACTGTGTGTACATGGGTTTTACAAAATATATAATGTGGAGGGTTGTGCAATCTATACTATACAACGCATAGATTAAGCTACTTAGCTGTGTGATTGTGAAAAAATAAATTAGATTTAATCTAATTAGGCCAATACGAAATTACTAGGTAGAACAGATCATTATACCGTTTACACCGGGAGACAAAATCCGGGAGACAGATCAAGGGAACCGGGAGACAGATCAAGGGAAACCCATGGATGTTCAGAAAAGTTCAGAATGAAAAAGCGTAGTTGCATGGGAGTGTGATACTACTTACTATTCTAGTTGTTGAGTACAAAGGGGAATAACACATTTCTGTCTTGCTGAACACGAGTTTCCTCCAGTTTTGATCTTAGAACATGTTTTCAGGTCACTGTTCAACATGCCAAATATGAGCAGCATTGATGATGTCATTTAGATTTGTACCCTCTGCACGCACGCACGCATGCACACACACGCGCGCACGTACGCACACACACACACACGCGCGCACACACGCACGCACGCACACACATGCACATGCACGAGCACGCACGCACGCACGCAGCCACGCACGCACACACACACACCTAAGCATGCGCACACACAAAGACACACGAAAACGTACACACGCGTACGCACACACGCACGCACACGCGCGCACACACACAGACACACGCACGCACGCACGCACGCACACACACACACACACACACACACACAAAGGTGCCATAAGGCTAGCTACTACCACGACCATCTACCATGACTCGACAATTTTTTTTTCTCAAAGCCACACTTTTGCAAGTGATCATGACTCAGTAAACTAGTTGCTACCTTCGTTTAGCCCATGCTGTGATACTATCAGCCACCCACCTGCGAGGTAGGCTTATTTATAGTTGGCCTTAATCAAAAGCAGACGTTTGCGTAAGTGCTATTGACATTGTATTCCCAACGTACAGAATCTCATATAGAGAATGAAGTTCATATATGATTTAAGGCCATAAACGTTGTTCAAGTAAGTTTTGCATGCGGAATTTCACTGTGAAATTTAAGTCTTCTACGATCACACAAGTACCATCAAACACAGTTCAGTCTTTTGTTAACAGTCAACAAATCAATGTTTAACCCTCCTCTTGAGAGCCAAAAGGTTATCAGACACTTACTTATCGCACGTCAGTGGAAAGCACATTTCATGGTCCTTTCAATAAAGTGATAAAAATGGTAGGTCAGCGCTGAAACAAAAAAGTTTTCCACTCTGTCCATTAAGGCCATGTCCTCAGAAAATGTCTAATATCTGACCTTTCCCCCACTGCCCTTTGACCTGTGACCTCCAATTTCGCACTGGTGATGGGTTCCCTGCCCATCACACTATACACCGAATATTAAGAGCATAGGCCGTTCAGATTTGTGCCGCAATTCCGTATTTCCTCCTATACCTTAAGTTAAGGTGGAAATATTCCCCCTTCGTTGACACATCTTGACCTTTGACCCTTGACCCCCCAAATTGGTCACCCCGAGTCCTTTTCACGATCCTCCCCCGACGTCCCGAATATCGTGACCGTACGTCGAGCGGTTAAGATTTGTGCCCAACTGTTGACGGACACACGGACACACGGACACACGGATCACGGACGGACGCGATTCTACAATCTGCATCTGACTTCATCAGATGGGCTAAAAATAGTACAATATAACATCCACTCCACAAAACATCTCTGCTATGAAAGTTCTGGTGTTCAAAATTGTAGTACAGGACGGCTATGCAACACAGATTTCTCATGTCAAAAGCCAGGTGTAAAAGCCAACAAGACATGTATAGCTTCTCAGTGAGGAAACAAATTGTATACACTTACACTTTACTGGTCCTAGGAAATAAACAGCCATTATATTTTTGTAATCTGCACAGAAATATTTATTTACTTTTGAAATAGTAATCCACATTGTAAACGTTATACCTGTCAAACCTTTGGTGATATCATAGGAATGCAAATAACAAACATAGTTTACTTAGAGCTACAGACCACTGCCCAAAACTATCTAACTAATTAGATAATGTGATAATGTGATAAGACCAAACTTATATTACAAAAATAAATTGAAACTCTTGTACCCTGATAATTAGCAACTATATTAATACTCTCACTTGCAATAACAATTGTTGAATTAACTAAATTGACTGTTCTTTTTCGCCTCACTACATATATTTCCAAATAATAATCTTCTTGATTAATACTAGTATTAATATTTACCAGCACTTAAACTAAGTTTTAACATCATGTGTTAATACATGATACCGAATGTTGAAACCATCTATGCCCTTATGTTTTAATATTTATTCCATTACTTAAACTAAAACACCTGAAGCATCTATATAGAGCCCGTTTGCTGTTTATAGTTATTAGCTTAGGTACCCTGTAAGTGGTAATCCTACCCTGAGATCATTACAGGCGTTACTCGGCATAATTCATTCACTGGTCCCATTCTGTACTTACACACTCACACACCGGGTATGTAAACATTACATGTTAACACCCAAATTTCAGGGCTAGACCATCAGTCCTCGCCAAAAGCGTCGGACCGTCGGACAAAACCGGTGATTTTTGCACGGGTCCGACAAGAAATTTGGCTTTACCAGACCGTGTGTCAGGTAACATTAGTCATTACATCAACTAATTACGCAGAGGCTACGGGTACGTCAGTACCACACACTATGCCTAATACTATCACTGATTATACCTGGATCACACAACTGGACAAGGCCAAAGACCTAGAAATAGGTGAAACCTACATCAATGACAAAGCTGGCATTATCGAATGCATTGCTGATTGTACGCGTCACGAAATGGATGAAAAAATAAACGATGCTAGCTTTTTCAGCTTTATCATGGACGGGTCAACAGACATAGCTGGTCATGAGCAGGAAAGCATATATATATATATATATGTTAGATATGTCCACAAAGGAAAAGCAACAGAGATGTGAATGCGTTTTAATGTTTCAATATTTTTTTGGTCCAGTAACATATCATTCGGTCTGGTAAAAATCTATTTTTTACTGGACCGAATGTCCAGTAAAGAATTTTGTCTTTTGGCGAGGACTGGACCATATTACTCACTTTATCACAACTTTCTTACTTACCTCACACAGAGTCACATCACACCCAGTGATTTCAGAAATTCACTTACAAACCCCTGGCACCAACAAACAATCTCCTTGGGCCATCTGCTCTGCCTCAAGTTGAACCCATATAGATCTACCTAGCTGAAGATGATACACGGCAACCTTTAACTGACACAGACACTGTTGTTATGATCGCCACCTCCCATATTCCCTATACGCTCCCCTCACCCCACCACGCATGAGTTAAGTGACACCATAGTCACTGAAATGACTGACTCTTCCCACGTGTGGCCGCACGGTACCGCAGCAGTGGCATGGAACTCAATTCCCCATGAAAACATAGCTCCACTTTCACTCTAAGGTCCGTTTTCTATTAGCACACAATGCCATGCCACGCTGCCCCTTCCACATCCCGTACATACTCTACTGCTTTAACCTAACCATCAACTGTGCCTCCAGCTTGCGCGAGTCCGCGGCAAACTTGCGTATTCCATCAGACAGCTTTTCGGTTGCCATCTGGTCTTCGTTGAGCTCAAAGCGGAATGCTTTCTCGTCAAAGGTGACCTTCTCAATTGCCTGTGTCTTTGCTGAAACACAGGGTAGAGTAAGGTTGTGACACCAACGGCCTTTACGTTCAGCATACACGTTAACCAGGGCAAGACTGAGACAACAATTTACACGATGCTCACAGATAACGTGTCAAACTTCAGTTCATGAAATCTAGAAAAATAAATCCCCTGGACTATTCTAAGTAATAGCCACACACACGCATTCTTGCACTCCACATGGGCACACAAACAAGTGCTTGCCCACACACACACACGCACAAACGCAGATGCAGACACATAAAGGTTTTTACCTGTATCAGCATTGAGGTGTCTGGTTATCAAGTCTCTGCTAGCTTCTAATTCTCCCAGCAGCTTAGGACTGTGCAAACACAAAGAAAATGATTAAAAAATGATGACTTTCCAGCGCAGCAATCATGACTCTGCACTAAACTTAATCTACAATATAAGCATGAAAGGGCTGACTGCACTATCCCCATGTTTTGGCAACAAAGGCAACTTTTCAGAGAAATAACGTCACACCTGTAACAGCATCGTGCACAGTGCCACTCATTTACCTGATAGTCAGCAAATCACAGCCGGCCAGCGCTCTAATTTCACCAATATTTCTGAAGGAGGCGCCCATAATGACTGTCTTGTAGTCAAACTTCTTGTAGTAATTGTAGATTGAAGTCACACTGATGACGCCTGAGCAGACAAATCATGACAAACTTTAGGATGCCAGTGACGCACCTCATAAAAACATAAAACTGTGCAAATATCAGTAGGGACCAAGTTGTGAAGTTTATTTTGAGGGTGATTGCCAGAATACTAACACCTAGTAACAAAATTTTAGATTAGAGATACAGCAAATTTCTCAATTTCGTCCCTCAATAGATACAAAATGCAAACAAGTGGAAGCTGTATGTATAAACCTGGATCTTCCATTGGTTCGTAAGACTTTTTTCCTGTATTGGCAACATTCCAATCCAAAATGCGACCAACAAAAGGTGAAATTAGAGTGACTCCAGCCTCGGCACAAGCTACCGCCTGCAATGATAACAGCAGTCTTTGATATTGGGTGTGTCAGGTGCATTATAGATATTAGGAGGGATATCTTGGTAGGGACACATGTACACATGGGTGGGAAGTATTTGAGTATATGTATAAACACTCAAAAACAAGAGAAGATGGGGATATGCAAATAACGTAAATGTCAATTTTTCACAGTGGTGAAGTGTTATCTGTTGAAGATCTCTATGCAATCCTACCATGAATCACTGATCAAATGACTGCAGATTTATAAGGCAAAAACAATTAAATTCTTACCTGACCAAACGAGAAGAGAAGTGTCATGTTGCAATGAATTCCAAACTGTTTTTCGAGAACTCTGAAATAATGAAAAGCCATTAGGCATGACTGTACTTTTGTAACCGAACTACTAGTTATTGAACTGTGTTATACCCTTTCACTGTTATTTTAAGTGTCCTATGCCATAATAGGCACAACTTCCAAAACATTTGCAACTAGAGCACTCGGAGAGCACAGACCTCTGCCAAAGCAGCTGAATTCTCTCAATGTGGAATTTTTTATTCATTAAATAATTAATTAAGTGGAAAAATTAATTAATTAATTGGATCCGAATTAGTGCGAGCGTGCAGGTGGGGGAGGACTGTGGTTGCCCCTTAGCCTGTGTTTGCGTGTTTTTAAGTCTACAGCCAGCGCACCTAGCGGAAGTGAACTGAAACGTGCATGTTCACAAACAAACCAACCAACACTCAAACATTCGCCGGTGAAAACATAACCTCCGCCACGCCCCTGGCAGAGGTAATAACATTACAGTATTCTTAAATATTTAAGTGATGTCAGACATATTTCTGAGGTTTATTTCTTACTCTGCAGCACGGATGCCCTCCCAGGTTGATGCCAGCTTGATGAGGACTCGCTCCTTGGGAATTCCTGCCTCTTTATACATAGAAATAAGTTTCTTCGCCTTGGCAATCGAGCCTTCTTTATCAAACGACAACCTGAAACATAATTCAAATATGTTTAATCATTCGGAGATTTGCATAAAGCTAGACATGTATAACTAATCATAGGAAGCCATGGTTCTTGTTTGTTCAGAAAATATAGCATTTACATTACTAATGCTATCTCGTCTGAAATCTTTGATCAGATATAGTCAAAATATATATAAACATGATTTAAGGACAATACTGATATTTAATGCAGTTATGGTTATATACCTGGCATCAACCTCAGTTGAAACTCTGCCTGGGACTATCTTTAGTATCTCCACTCCAAATAACACAAACAGCATGTCAATCGCTTCAGAAACTTGTTCCTCCACTGTGCTATAAAATTATTACATATTAATAATGTGCACAGAGCATTAGACATATAAACAAGAGCCGCAGAGTGACAGCGCTCAACTGATGTGTACTGTAGCCGGCTATTCTTCTCATAAACTCACTGGCAACCGAATCAAGTGCGCCCTCCCGCCACCGCGTTGATAGGCTTTGCTATACCGGTAGTACAGTAATAAAGATATAGCTGTGTAGCTTTAACGACTTCGCTATATTAACGTTATCATGGCTATGTGTCGAGCGCGAGCGTAGTGGTGGTGGTGGAGAGGGTGAGGGTGGAGTATCCTCCCTATACCTTAAGTTAAGAAGGGAATGTTCCCCCTTCTTTTACACCTCTTGACTTTGACCTTTGACCCCAGCTTCGACATCCCAACTCGTTTTCGGATTACCCCCCCCCCCCCACATCCCGAATATCGTGACCGTACGTCGAGCGGTTAAGATTTGTGCCAACTGTTGATGCACGGACGCACGCACGCTCATGCGATCTACAAGCTGCATCTGACTATGTCAGATGAGCTAAAAATCTTATGAAACATGTCCCTTTCAAAAAGACCTGTAATTTTAACATTCCATACATTTCTATATCTCATACGTTATTATATGTGAGTGCATTGAAGCAACCTGTAAAGCAGTAACCAATGTGATTTTATATAATAGGGTTCCAGGGTATTTATTCCCAGGTGTGGGATAATATATGTATGTATGTATGTATGTATGTATGGTATGTGATATATACATAAATATATATATATTATATATATATATATATATATATATATATATATACATATTGAC